TGGCCCCGCCGCGGCGCCTGGCCCGCGTCGAGCTCGTCGCCGAGGGGCCGCACTGCGCCGTGCCCGAGGTCATGTAAGTGCCCGGCCCCGGCCCCGGCCCCGGCCCCGGCCCCGGCCGCGGCCTCACCCCCTGCCTCGCCCCGCAGAGCCACGACGAAGCAGGGCCAGACGGTCTGCCTGAACCCCGCCGCGCCCTGGGTCAAGCTCATCCTCACCAGGATCCTCAACAGGTACCGCCGGCGGCCGGGGGCCGCTGCTTTGGCCGCGCAGCTGCCCACACTACCCGGGCCCTTTCCGAGGCCAAGCCTGGCTTTCGGCTGGGTTTGAAACCAGCGTGGGTGTCGCAGGGATAACAAGTCACATTCTGCCATCGATTTCTATGGGGAAATCTGTTTAGTTATGCCACAAACTTGCCCAAGAAGTGGCTGGGTTGTTTGGAAGAGAAGACCCCGCGGGTCAGGTGGAGTATCCACAGCAAATGCCTGAGTCAGTGCAAATCTGGCCGCAGTTCTGGGCCAGCGTGGTCCACCGTCACCGTCGGGCATCTTTTCCAGAAGACGCATCCCCTATGGCGCTTATTGTCTGGGGCTGCAGGAGGATTTAAGGAAAGATTTCCTGACTGGCTTTATAATTCGAATTCTGCCTGTTACAGTTCACATAACCAGGTCTGAGGGAAGAAACATCTCCAAAAGAAACTACCTGTGTTTGCCAGGAGGTGCCAGGAGATGGATGCTGGAAGAAGATAATAGCCCGACTCTCGAGTTTTGATGTGTTTGTGGACCAACCGTTCTATGTTCAGTCCCTCTAAGACTCTCCCCTCTTCTCCCCTCCCCTCCCCTCCTATTTATTATTGCCTATTCCTACGTATGTATTTATTGACTGAGCTAAAGTGATTGAATCTGATAAGACAGCGTAGGCTTTGCTAGGCGCCTCTCGGCGACCTTGCTGCAGTTCTCACAATCTGAGTAGCCCCACCTTTGTGCAAGCTCCTTCTCTCCCAATACTATTTGCCAACAAGTTCTGATAATAGCATTCATATCCGAAAAGAAGATGGGCGCGTGGTGGAGACGGCTGTGCCAGTGTCTGCAGACAGTCTGGTGCGCGGAGGTTTGAATGGGCAGTGTTGATGACAGCGGGCGATCCTTCCGTTGGGAATACCAAGATGGCCAAGTCTGAGCGCTGCCTGGCACTTAGCATTTCCGTGCCCGTGCAGGATTACAGAGGAATGAAAACTGCTTGACGCACGTGCGGTACTGTGCTGCCATGCTCAGTCTGCTGCCTTGGGTGCCTAAACGAGCCTTGGGCTCGGAAGGTTTTGCTACATCTTTTTTTCCCCGCTCTAACGTACTAGCAATTACTGTGGGATGCCTAGGATCTTTTTGCACGAGATACTGCACAAAGAAATTACAGAAAGCTCGCTCCTGAAGTCTCACTCTGTTCAATACTTAGGACAGTTTAAGAATTTCCATGAAATTGTGGGGTTTCATGCCGAGATTGCTTTGGTTTCTAACGAGATAATATTGGGGTTTCTTTGTTTGTTTTTAAATGAGTTTACATGTAATTATTTGGTATTTATACACAAGATGTAAAGGAACGGTAAATGTTCTGAAGGGGCTTAGATATTTTATGTCTACTTGTATGACATACTGTCATAATTCATGTAGAATAATTTTCCTTATTCTGCTTTGGAGAAATGTGTTTATGTAAAAAGGTGGATTTATCATGGAGTGATAATTTAATGAAATATAATGCAATAAAAATATTTTCTTGTTGAAAAATACACTGTTTTTTTTGGCGAATCCCATGTTAAGATGGACCTGTGTACCCGGGTCAGGTTGGCTAGCTGGGAAGCAGGGAAGCAGTAACCTGTGTGCGTGCCCAGGGCTTCCCGGGCACACCTGCGGTCCAGCTCTTTCTGGCGTGGCGGGGACGCTTTGTACGGAGCAAACGCGCTTTTAGATTCAGAGGCACGTTATGGCAGCCTTTCACTCCGAGCTGCTGATGTGAAGAGAGATTAGGCCCAGGACGGATGTATTGAATCCAAGTAAGTAAGCCCTGGCAAGGATCTGCAGGCACTTGCATTCCAGTTTGAGTTGAAGTGGGGCTGCGTTTAAAGTTAAACATGTTTTGCTGGGTGGGCAGGAGCAACAGTGTCTGCTGCGGTAAGAAACCCCGACAGTTCACAACAGTAACTTTATTTCCAGAAAAAGAAATGGTTCAAGTCCCGGCTGTAACAAGGAGCCCTGACACCATTTAAAGCAAAGACTCTCCACATCTGGATTCTTTTTTAGTGCACCTTTCCAGTGCAAACAGTAGCTTCAATCACTTGGTACATAGTACTTATTTAGCGATAGAAAAATCGATCGCTGTTTGCTCATGAAATTCAATAGCACCTTATCTGAAGGAATAACCATATCCCGGCCTTGTTGACACGACTGAGTCATAGTGTTCTCCTGGGACACCTGAAGAAAGCTGGCTCGTCCTCCTAACACAGTCTGGCTTTTCTCTGAGAGAAATCATTGGAAAGCAAATTCACACGAACAGGGATGGGCCTTGTTCCTTATTTCTTCCTCTTGACCTAGCAAGTAACTGGATGTTACTTTTTTGAGTTGCGGACATAGAGAAAAATCTGACTGAGTTTTGAAAACTCCTTGATGTATAAAACAGCTTTTCTCTCTGTAATGCCAGAATTTTGAAGTCCAATATTTAGGCTGTTGTGCTTGGGAGAAAGTGTTATATCACTCAGAAAAGGAGAAATTATTATTTATTTTTTTTTTAGTGATACCATCTTCCTACTGTTGCTCTTGAAGGGAAAAAGTCTTACTACATTAAAAACCTTTCTAGGGAAAAGAATTTATTTTGCCTGACTTACCCATCAGATGAGCGCAGAAATTTAGAGTAGCAAAGGGCTAAAAAGATGTCCTGCATCTGAGAAAAACAACGAATCCAATTATGCAACTTCGCAAACATTAGAGAAGAAATTAGGGGAGAGCGTCAGCTGGACAAAGCTACGTGCCAAAAAACAACAGAGAATGGGAGGGGTTACTTACATATATGTATAGAATTCAATAACTAAGATGTCTGTCAAAGGGTGGATTTTATAATGTGACAACTATATGTGTGTGTGTGTGTATATACAGGCACACATCTACTTAGATCACCTGCATATTATGAAATCACAAAATGACTCAAATGATAGATACTCTGTACCCAACTGGCTGTTGCACGGGGTCATAACGTGAACTACCGAGGAGCTGAAGGTACGGGAATGACTAGGGTTACTGGTTCAGTCTTAGGGTGAAATCTGGCTGTAAGGAAAAGCAGCAGCTTCCAAATGACTGCGATACTGTTTGTCAGGCAAAAGTATTCAGAGTTTTCCCCTATAGTCCACACTGCTAAGTGAGGTGGAGTGATTATCTACTGTCTTCCCCGAGAACATTTTCCTTCTCGAAATTTATGCTAATAGACTGTCTGCAGGGAGCTCCCACTCAATGCTGGTGATCAGCTACGTGTCCTTGCCCTTATCTAAAACTGCAGCAACAACTTCTCATGTGGACATTCTTATCCGACAGTAGGAATGATAAATAGAGCTGTTTTCTTTTTAGAAAATCCTCAGAAGAGCTTTCATGACTCTCAATGAGGTAACCTGTCCGCAGTCAGGATCTGCACAGCAAGCTGTGCCCTGACTGGAGCCCCGTCCCATACCACGCAAGTTAGGGTTACCAGCATCTGAAGGCACGGAAGACTATCTTTATTACCCTCTTCTCCCACATAGTGATAGCTCTAAGAAATGGCATTTTAGGCAATACTTGACAGAGAAAAACAAGAGCCTGACTGCCTTTTTTCCTGGCCTTCTACGGACTAGCGCCTCCGGTTCAAAACACCCTTCAGGAATTCACGGAGTTCATTTTCAAACCCGGGCATACACAACATGGCTGGCTACCAAAGCTCTGTGGCTGGACCTGTGCTAGCCAACTCACTTCTTCCACACAGGCGACGTCAGCTCTACTGCAGACACGCAGAAGAACAGTCTCACCTGTTAGACCACCATACAATGAGACCTCACTGCTCTAGGCAGTTTCTGATGAGGCTCATCCAGACACTGAAGCAAGTCTACTGGATTTCCCACTTCTCCAAGCAGAGCAAAAAGTTCCCCAAAAGGAAGCACAATGACAAATGACCTCATCCCTCTTCAGTCTCACCTCTAGTCTCGCCGTGTCGGACTGCAGAACCAGAGTTGAGCTCTCCTTCCCTCCCCCTTCCCTCCTACCTCTGCCAGCCAGCTCTTTTTCAGTCATCCTGACTCTACCACAGAAGTGGATGCCTCTTTCCAAGACAGGACCACGTTTCCAGTGGACCTCATTGTTATGCTGAAACCACAAGTCTACCCTCCCGACCACCCCATTTGGGCTGTTTGTCACTCTGTGCCTAGAGCCCACCCTTGTTGGTTTTGCAGAGGTTTTTCCCGTTCATTGAGGAATTCCACAAGATGATACTCCTCCGCTGGTCTCAGAGCACAAGTCCCTTGCCAGTCCCAGAATTTATGCCTTGCCTTGCACCCTAGTTGTTCTCCTTTAAGGACAAGCTTGAGATTATAAATTTTCAGGTGGTGGTAACAAGCCCATTGGGCTGCGGATACCAGACCAGGAGGTGCAGGTTCCTCTACTGATTACAAAAACGCAAGTATTACAATGTCACAGAAGTGTTCAGATAGAGCAGAGCAGCTCTGCAGTTGACACCTGCTGAGAATGCAAAACCATGTGCCTCCACGTTATTTACGAAGGACCGAAGTCAAACTCTAATGCAAATGAACACATGGACCAAAGCTGAAAGGTTATTTTGCAGGAAACGTTAGAAACTTCTCAGAAAGACATATATACAGATACGCATAGAACAAGTCTTTTATCCCGGTCCTTGCAGTAACCACTGGTACTTTTCCACTGTGAACTATTCACAAAACCCCTAAAGTTTTCCATTGTTTTACGAAATAACCTCAGTTGTGAAAATAATCTTAGACCTGTAGAGTGGCAAGCTTTACTGTTTTTGAAAGCAAATGCTTTTCCAAATACAGACTTTAGAAAAAACGTTCTTGCTTGTACTTTTGAGTTAACAATCCAAAATATTGTAATTAGGTACTTCTTAACATTTTAACCTATTTTTTCAGTCATTTTCTAAAACTACCAACATTTTAGTCGTTTCATGAAATGACCAATTTCACAGTATGCGAATACAGACACAAACCCACAAATACCTGTTCATTTTGTGAGCTACCGCTCACTTGCATAACAACGCAAAGCAGCTCCGTGTCACCGACTGGATAGAACTGAGTGCCTCAGTTTCAGGAATCCTTTCCGAAAACAGTATTTTAGGTATATCAAAATCATCAGCAATTCACTACAAGAGAAGGCAGGGCTGGACTGGGACCGAAAGCAGTGTGCAGTGTCGTGTCTGGTTACTGGCCAGGAGACAGTGACCAGCAGCGTGGCAAATGCATGCATTTTTTTTAGTATAGACCTGAATCTTTCTCTCAAGAGAGACATCTAGAAAGAAGTGGGAAGAAGAAATCTGAAAAAAGAGACTTATTCAATAGGGTTAAGTGCAAGAGTGTAGTAAGAGGCAGCCTCTTTGTGCTTGCAAATCTGCAGGGACTTGCAAGAAGGAATGAAATTGTCCTTGACTGAGAAGAACAGAGTAAAACCAAAGAGGGCTAAGGGCACAGAAGGGAGGATGAAGCGGTGGTGGCTGTTCCCAGCATTTCCACAGCTGGTTTTTTTTTGTGTGTGTGGTGTTGCACAAGTAACTCAAAGCATCATTGAACAAAACCACGAGCCACGCATTATTAGTTCCCTTTTAAAGGAATGGGAGCCGGAATGACGAAGTTAAAGCATAGCTTTAAGTGCCTTCTAAACCACCGCCTAATATTCAGAGGTGTTGAAAACTCAAACCTTCATAAATTATTTTTTTTTTTTTTATTATTATACAGTATGAATAAATGCAAGAGGTCAGGAGCTGTTATCTGGACATCGGAGCACGTGGCACGGCACGTCTCGCCCATACAGCTGTAGTCTCTTCCTACAGACAAGCGTGTCCTTGTGACGGATGCGCTCGACCCCTTGACCAGGCTGGCGGTGGTTTGGCGCAGGCTCCGGAAGAGGCAAAGGCCTGAGCTGTGGCCAGGCCATGAACTCCTCTCGTTTCAGTCCGTTCTCTGAAAACCCACAAAGGAGCAGAGCGACACAGCGAGCACCGATGCATATGAGCTTGGAACATCCATCATGCGACTGACACATGAATAGCAGGTGGCTTTTCCGAGACTCATTTATCAAGGAACAATGAAAGGAGTCTCCTGCATACCTTTTCTATGGCATGTAATTTGACTACAAGCCAACCATGAGAGAAAATGAAGCAAGTGCTGAGCTATAAATGATGACAACTGATAAAGCTTAATACCTCTCTTGCTGCTTTAACCAGCATGTTATTCTCTCTTAGTATTTTACTGTTTTCTTGGAATTAAGAAGGAATCGCAGCAAGCAGAGTGGCTCCAACTTACCGCTCAGTTTCAGTTGTGCTAGCACGAGCTGTTTCATCTCAGATTTTCCCACTACTTGTTCTGCTTGTGGCAAAAGGCAAGAGCGAGAGTAATTCCATTTGTATGTCCATGTGCATGAGAAGCAAATCCTGGAGTATAACAGCGTCAGCAGTCCCATGTGGGTCTGAAGACACAGCGGAGTTTGTTTTCAGTTCACCATAAGAAGGCACAGAGAGCAGTCATGGATAGCAAGACTGTAATCTCCCTCCTGATTCTCTCTTTTATGGGCAACTTTCCTGGTAAGAAAATTCAATTTATTTTCTGTTGTATTACGATTCTTCTGCAATATGGTTTAGCTAAACAGAATGTTTTCAAGGTGTGTAGGACTTCCATACTCACACTGTCTTTGAGGGAGCAGGTCAAGAAAACCATATTCACAGACTGACTGCCACAGCGGGCCTATTTCTTGTCTCCTATTCTTCTTCTTCTGCTAGCGGAGATTCACTGACGTTGGTGAACTTGTCCCTTAAATATTCTGAGGAAAATGAGATTACAACCAGGGCCTCAGAAGTGATAGCCTGCAATAACTGTGTGGCATATTGCATCGCTATCACTTTTCATGCTGCTTTTATAACAGGCCCTGAGATGAAAGCTTGGAATATTCAACTTAGTTTGAATCAATCCATTTCTAATCAACAGCCATCTGTTAGAGCTCTTTCCTGAGAAGCATGAGGGTAAAAAAACCCCAAACTCTGCTGGGACACTCTGAAAAGTATTTTGTGGGCAGAAAGTATGCCAAGTTCAGGGGTCTGGAATACTTCCAAGCCTCAGCACCATTTGGATGCTCGCTCTTACTGCGTCCTGGCTTCACGTTGGGATGACACACATCTTCGGTCTCTCCTGAGCCAGAAGAGAGCTGTGTGGCCAACCTCCAGGCTGGACAACTGGCTAACAGGACACCTGTATCATTACACACAGCTGCGAAGCATTGGCACAGCCTTTGGGAACCTCATTTTCTTCTCCTGAGCCTGCAGATGGGATGTCGCTGCTCTGCTGCGATGCTCTGCGCTTCCCAATGCTTGACTTTCAAGTGTGTTTGTTTCTGCTTTCTGTCAGGTAGGTAGGGAGATGTCGGTCAGCCAAAAGAAGCGCCGGCAGATTCAGCGGGGCAGAAGATAAGTGAAGAAGGGAAATAGGTGGATGATCGTATCGAGGTACAGGAAACTAGCGCACGGTGAGGTAAAGGGGTTTCCCGTTTGGCCTTAAGGGATGTCGAGACTACCCACGGTAAGAGAGGACTGATGAACTGACTGGGATTTCGGCTCCTGCAGCCCTGCGCATCTCAGTAAGAGCGTCCATATGCCCCACATCCATTTCTCCAGAGCTTGTCTTTGCTTCTTGTTGATGCTGCCCTAGAAGTACTGAATCTCCTCTTTCAAATATATTCCACAGTTCAACTGTCAGGAATCTCAAGCCGAAGATGCAGCTTGCCTTAGTAGGAAAAATGGACAAATGCGGGAGTTGCGACTGCGCATTTTAACCTGTGATATCTGACTTGAAAACAGGAAGATAACCCAGTGTCTGCAGTGAGTGGAGCTCGGAAAGCCCTGGGCTTCACAGCTTGTGATCTTGGATAACTTCTGTCACCTCTCTGGTGCTCTGTGCTCCACCTCTAAAGCTGGGATAACATTTTTTTTGCTTCACTAGGGCAACGTGGGTCTGGAAGGACTGTCAGGCAACAGCAAATTCAGTCCATGGACTTGGGGGCTGCACACTGTGTGGCATAAGTCAATCAACCTCCATCCCAAAGCTCGCTGGGTTTCTTGCTCCTAGTACTTAGCCAGAGTTGCTTCCTCAGAGGCCCCCACACCTTTCCTAGCATGATGATTAAGCTTCTAAGCTGAATATTCTCATGGCTTTTTCACACCAGGTTCCAGTGCAGAATTTCAGCCCAAACAGGTTTCACCTCCAGGCTGTATTTATGGGGAGCGGCCGTCTGCCTCTTCAGCTAGCTTTTGCTTCCTCTCATAAGATAGGAGCCCCACACTTTGAGTATCCTTTCATTGCACTTGATGTTGCGGGATGCCAAAATAATTGTAGTAGTAATGGGAACTCCTAAATTGTTACCTGTACAAAGTCTGCAGATCTCAAATGCCCTGTTCTTGCCCACTGAAGGTACTGCCTTACACCCATGAATAGCAATCCATTTATACTTGGAAGCACAAACTTTTTATCCCTTCTCTTTCTCTAATTAATATTTTCATTGTCAGTTTCATTCAGTTGCAGACATTATAAGCTTCCCTTTCCTTTCCTCACAGAGATGATGCTGGCCGCGGAGCTGCGGTGTCACTGCATCCGGACTGTCACAGGACTAATGCTGCCGAAGCACCTGGCCAACGTAGAAATCATTCCTAAGGGCCCACACTGCAACGCTGTGGAAATCATGTGAGTAAAGTCAGCAGGCAAGAGAAGTTATGGCTTAGGAACGCTGAAGAGTTGGCAGCCCTTAAGCTTATAATCCTCAGCCTTGTCTGCGTCCTCCTCTAACCTCCGCGGGTGCCAATATTAACTAGAGTGAAATGTTCATTCCACTGCAGAGCAACACTGAAGAACAGCCAGCAAATCTGCTTAGATCCCCAGGCCAAATGGGTGAAGATGATAATTAACAGGATTCTACACAGGTAACTGCCAGGATTACCTGGCAACTGGAATTATTCCACCAAAGGGCATATTTTCCCCAGTATAAACGTCAGCGTGCGTGCAAACTTCACCGCTCTTTCTCTGAGACCCACTGAGTAGTGCAGAGCTAGGAATGCAGGAGGACTAGATTTAGTTGATCTTTGGACAAGGCAGAAACAAGGCCTACCTGACATATCTCAGTAATTTAAAACAAACAAACTGTTACGTGTCGTACTTTTCAAACAAGGATATCGATCCCGGGGTCCTCGGGGTTGTGTTCAGCTCCGCACTGCCACGGGCAACGTTTGGGTTGGTTACTCTCTTGTGTCTGTGGGTGGGTGCACCTCCTCGGAGATAAATTACTTACAATAGCTATCCGGGCAAACATATTTTAGAATAGCTTCAAGTGACTTCCCTCTAGTGCAAATTAAACGAACATTCAACTAAAAAGAAACAAAAAAGAAAATAATTCTTTTATTTTCCACTACAAGTGAATCTGTTTTTGTCTGGTTTCGATGTCTGCAAATTAATCTCACTGTTTTGTGCCTGCTGTAATTCATTACAATATCTGTATTACAGTTCATCCAAGAAACGGCATCAGTAAAGGAAACAGAGGCATCTCTGCAAGCAAGAGAAAACTGCGTAGAAATGCCATTAGCCTTTAAGTGTCTCCAGGGTCAGGGTATTCATAATTTCATCATTTCACTCTAACTTTTTCTGTCCTCGCCGCTCTCCGTGCGCAGACTGTTCATCTGCGAAAGGAAACCGCTGGGCTCAATAGGCTGTCGCAACACTAGCAGACTCTTGTATTGCATGGCAAAATGTTACGTGGTGCTTAGCTGCAGAGGCATTTAAAGCAGTGTCCTAACCAAACCCTAGTCTCGCACTGGTCAGCTGGAAACACCTGCGCAGGTTCAGCAACACCAAGGATTCGGCATTCACTGAACCGGTAGTTGTACCAAATCATCTCTAAGCTTCCTTCTGAGGGACTATGAAGTACAGTTTTGTCTCGTTTAAGAGGGCTGTAGTTTTCAAAGTACAGAAATATTAACCAAAGGAGATTCTTACTGAAAGAAAAAAAAATTTAAAAGGAAAAGGAAGGGAAGAAAGGAATTTCTTGATATCGATAAAAACCTTGCTTAGAGGCAATACGGTCAAGGAAGTGAAGCAAATGCTGTAAGATTTCTGTGTTTAAAAACTGTTTTTTTGGTCTCATGCATATTAAATATACCTCTAACCTTAAAACAGCCGAGTCATAGTAATGCCTATCAGTGTCACAAGGACTCTTCCATAAAAAAGGTTTTTAGAAGCCATCAATTCAACTTTTCATAAATGAAACGTGAAGAAAATGTGTGCGAAATATCTGTAATGTTTTCAAACATGCTCAGAGGTTTGCCACCTGCAAACCATTGTTAGGGTTTATTCATAGTGCACCAGGGGCTGAAAAGTAAATAAAAATTTACAAGAAGTACAACAAGACTGTAGGTAATATTCTGAATTGCTGTGTCTCTTTTTACAAGAAAATAAACTAGATTTTAAATTTATTTTCAGTCATGATGCTTTTCCTAAAATACATTGCCTTCTCCCTTGAAATAATACACTTGAATACTACGGTGTTTTCAAAATTAAAAGCGCCCGTTCCCCATCTGAACGCAGGCGCATTTTTGGTTCTTATGTATGCAAGAGATGACGACATCATCACTGAATACTAACACTGCAGGTCTCCAAACACATTTGAGAGATGATGTCTCAGCTGCGTAGCATGAGAGGCTACTTAAGGACTACCTGACTACTTAATAAATGAAAGAACAAACCAAACCAGATTTGCCATTAAGACCTTACACTTACAGATAACTGAAAAAGTAAGTATTGTCTGCAAGAAGACTTTTCTTCCAAATATATTGAAAAAGATGTTGATTTGGTCAATGAATTAGAAACAAAACTGTTGATCTTTTTATCAGTGTTTGGATTAAAAGAAGCTTTCCTTCAGTTTTAAGTGAAATAAGGTAGCTTTTTTGATCCGTCTAGTTTGCCAAGAGCACACTCCTACCAAGTTGGTACCGGGAGCGCATATGCGCATTACAGTAGGAGCTGATAATGAAAAATGTCTGACAAACGCAGTTTTCCTCTCTATGCTAAACCCAAAATTTCTGTCATCTCGGATTCCAGCTTTTGTCTCTGCAAACAGCCAGTGACTGCACTGATACAGAGGATTAATACAACACAAATACGGTGCAGAGAAACAGCAAATGAATCTCCTTCCGAGCCTCTAGGAAACAAAAATGCCCCTGCTAGCCAAACGTCACTGCCCCTCGGTGGGGCATCATCTTAAAAGCTTCCTGCCCTCACATCTGCCATTGCAAAAATTCTTGCAGGAACATTACTCCTGAAATACTTCAAAAGTTCTTCTAACTTCCAATCTACTTTTGCCCAGAATTAATTCAACTCTCTCGATGTTTTTGCACTGCAGCCACCCTGCATAAATAGGTCTTTTCTTCCTTCCCCAATAATGTCTCTGTAAAAAGCCCCTACAGTTCTTCTTTGACAGCGTAAACCCTTTATCTCTTTGCAGAATATAAATACTTCAGTCTCCTAATCACTTACATAGTTGTTGTCTTCTTTGATTCAAGCTAATCTTTCTCAAACGTAAATAATAATAACCTTTCAGGTAAAATATTGATCTTACCATGAACCAGTGATACCTCATTTCAAAACCACGGATTGTTACGGTGACTTGGGTGGCAGTTTAATTGCACCATAGACGGTTGTCCCAACTTAAGAGTGGATTTCAGCAGAGGCAGTACCGATGGCCCTTTTATCATCACGCAGGTATGGTATTACACATGAGAAAACACACAAGCCGAAGCACCCGAACAGTTTTGAAGTATCCAAGTTTCAAAGGACATGGAAGGTTATCGGGGTAACTATGGGAGGGGGAAGGACATCTGTACAGTAGAACAAGATTAATGTTCAGAGGAAAACAGCAAAGATAAGAAGAGTTATAGGGTAAGAAACAAGTAAGCAGAATGGGTCTTTTTAGCCTGGAAAAGAGATGACAGAGGGAACATGAGAAAATTCTGTAATGCCGTAAATGGCACGCTTAAGAACAAGGAATGATCGATCACCGCTTCGAATCTAAAACAAAAACAGGGCCAAAAAGGAAGGTGGCAGGCGGCACGTTCAGCAGAAACTAAAGGAATGTATTCTTCTTACAACAAAATCCTTAAGCTGTGGGATTCTTTGCTACACCTGTCGGTGGATATTAAATGCTTCCAGGGGTTCAGGCAGTGAGTAGAGAAATTAATGAGGGAAAATCCCGTAAGGCCTGTTCAACACAAAGATGCTGTCTTTGGCTCAAGACGCTCCTGAACTTGAAATTCCTGGCATCTGGAAAAATACAGAGGAAAAGTAATAGTGTAAAGTATCTTTATGCGTCTTGCGTACGCTTTCACAAGCATTATTGGTCGCTCCGAGTGTCAAGATACTGTTCCAGATGAACCTGTACTGAGACGTGACGCAGCTGTTGTTCTGCTCTTTTGTCCTAAGGCCCTGAAAAGTCATGGCGTCTCCACGATACAAAATAAGGCCTCTGTGGGCTTGCGTTTTGCGAGCAGCTGGAGAAATCTCCCCTATACACCAAATGAAACGAAGGAGGCAATAAAACAGAGCAGTTTGTTTCACAAAATATGCTGAGTCAATCTTCCGATCCTCACGCTGCTGATTTCACATCCTAGATTGGCCACAGGAATAGCAATGTCAGCAAGAAAAAAAGGCAACTATAATTTCCACTGTGGAAGGATGATTTAGAAACTTCACAGCGTGACGAGGAAGAGTAACTATCGTCTTGAAATAATATTACACCATTTCTGCTTATCAGAACCGTGTTAGAACTGATGCATAAATTCTGCTTGAATTAATCACGTCCAGTAAACTGCAGAAAACATAGGCTTTCAGAAACTTCTTGCACTGATTTGAATTGGGTTTCCTTGTTCCTGGAACCACCACGCAATTTAATATGATTTATCTGATTAATATGTGCATTTATCAGTGTTAATTTATCGGTGAATGAGGACTCAGCACTTGATGGCCTGTTGCTTTGTCCTCTGTTCCTAGGCATCAGCGAAGAGGGCTTTCCCCGGGCAGTTATACTGAGCTTGCAGTAGCAAAAGAGAGGAGACACCTAATTAGAGGTCAGCCCCTTTAAACACAAAAAAAGTTCAGGTGTTAAAAGCATCCCAGGTAGACTTTTCTCTCTTTTTAGTCAATTTTGAAGTGATTTGAAAAAATAGTTTTGTCTCTGTATGCAATATTTTCACTGACATTTAAAAACATTCTTCTCCATCTTGGGTGGGGAGGAAATAAAAATCTTTCCTAAGGACAAATCTTTTCAAGCAGAACACGGTGTCTGGTCGTATTTTGTTTTGTTTTGGATTGTTTGTTTTTTTCAATAACAGCAAACGAGAATTTTCAAATAAAATAAAGAGAATTCTTCATCACTGTGATTTCCCAAAGTCATCAATTGGCAATTGCAATAAAAAATTGCTCATCGTTATGAATTCCAACATGGTATAGCACTGCTATAGTCAGTCTTTCCTGGGAAGCTTTGCCCATCTTGACACGAGTGTCTGCACAATTTTAACCTCTCGTGAAGCATTTTCTTGATCCAGGGTTATAAAAAGCCAATGACAAATATGAAACAAATTGTCCTCGTTCAGACAGTCACCATCTCAGTGCATCTTTTCCATCCGCACGTTCTGAGGAATGTAGTAATGTTGTCACTGAGCTGAAACCACCAAAACCCAAGGCCAAGTTATGACATAATATTGGTGTTGAGTAAATCGGTGTGGTGAATGAAAACAATTAGCCACAGCTCCTCGCACGCTTGCTCGCACGGACACTAAATGGTGCCAACGTGAAAACGCACATTACACCACACTGCCAACGGGGCTATTTAGGAGCCTGAAAGATAGCCTCGTTCGTGTACTGCCACCCTTTTTCATGG